GCAGGATTCTCCTTGTATTGCCACAGGTAATTACAAACTACAAAGTGAGGATGTTGCGTGCGTACTGGGGAAGATCACGGTCATTCGGTGGGGTGGTTTAGTAGATGAATGACCACCCCAAGCTTAATTTTGTTTTACTGCATGTTGGTGTGATCACTTTGTACATTTTAGAAATAATGCGATTTTGTTAATTAAAATTGTCCACAAGTGCCTGTTACACAGTAACAGAATAGAGGTTTTGTATTACTGCAACTGGTTAGTATCAAATGGAAAAATTAAAATTTAGTTATGTAATAATACAAGGGTCATAAACCGCTAGGTTCAATTTATATGTCAAATATCATATTTTATCTTATTTCTCTGTTAACCTTTATTGTAACATAACAGGGGATTTAAACCTCCGTACTATGGGCCTGTGCCAGCTAGACTTCAACTCCGGGGTTAACGGTGTGAGACGTGGCAAGCCTGATTGTAAATAAGCGATAATGTGCAGATGGGAAAAGTTAAAATCAATATGAGATTTTGTAATTGATCCTTAGGTAATGTGAAATTACATATTATGTATTACTGAACTTGTTCCGGTCGGGGCATGATGCTGACCACTCACCCCCATCTAGTGCCGAGGTCAAGGAAGAGAGGAGCTATACCTCCACTCACCCCAAACGCCTACATGGCGTATAGTGGGACAAACAAAAATAAATTACTGAACTTGTAATTCTGTCCAAGTTCCGGGTTTTTAACAATTTGTGTAGAGCCCAAGTATGAATATTGATGATGGTTAAAATTCTACTGAAATTTCACTGAATGCTGTGTAAAGTAAATAGCACTCCTGCTTGGTATTTGTTACGCCCTTGTTTCGATTCTCAGACCACAGACTGACTATTCTGACAGGTTTGTAGTTATTCTCATTCTCCAGGCAAATACCACGATATTACATTAAATTATGACCGCCACGGTGGTCTAGCGGTTAGAACGCTGGCTTTGTAATCCTGGGGTCCCGGGTTCGATGCCCGAATTTTTGTGTTGGGCAAGGCCGTGGTCTAGGCAACACGGATTTTTCCTCCGGGGCTTCCCCGGTTTCTCCGTGGCATCCCAACAATTACTCCATTCACACACAGAAGAAGGCAATGGGAAACCACTTCTGGATCATCTGCCAAGAACGTATATGAACAGGTCACAGTCCGAGAAAAGGATGGAAGGATCCTGTTCATAATATGTCGCCAACCTCCTGTAAAGGAAACGGTGTAATAAAGAAGAAGAAGATATTAAATTATGCCATGGCCACATTCTTCTACATTTTTGCCAATTCATTATTTACTATACTCTCTAACATTTAATGCTATATAATCTCAGCTACTGACAGGATCATTAATTAATATGAGCACTCACCCTATGTAGTGCCAAGGTTAAGAATGTGTGTGGCGCTTTTAAATTCTAGTAACGCGGTTAACATACAAGTAAACAAGGCAAAAAGTAAGTTTTGATCCCTCAATTCACCTTCTCGAAGCGACCTGGTGCTTAGGTCCAGAGACAACCTTACTTTTTAATCGGGATTCGTGCCAGATAATTTTTATAGGAATAGCGCATACTACATTGTGGAGCGTTGACGCTGGAACGGCAGCGATATCAACATATTTTCTGCTACGTCGCCGAGCGATACGTATCACCTATCGGTATGCAACAGTGCCTCATTGCTCGATCTAGTGATCCATCTTGTTGGAGCGCATGATTGTAGGTAGTAACAAGGCTACTGAAGAACGAACTAATAAGTTGGTTCAAACACGGCAATACTTCCAGACGGACGTAACTCCTCCACAACTTCATTTCTGGATGATACAAAAACAACAACAAAACGTTCACCCACACAAAATCATGTTAAGCACGACGTACATATACAGAACAACTTCGAATACGATATTAAAAATACAATAAAATCTGGAAGAAAACATCATTTGAAATCTGATAAACATCTGACTAAAAGTTGCATTTAAGAAATTATATTTAAGTTTATATAATTTTATACACCTGAAGATGGTTCTTTTAGAACTGAAACATGTCGTGTAAAAAAGTGATGATCTAATGTAAATCGAACATTTCGATAGAGAACATCATTTAATATATTTTAATTATTTAAATGTTAATTATAGTAATATTTTAATATTTAATAGGAATTTTATTGTGATTAGACTGACAAGATTTAAACAAATTAAACAAAGTTGGTGCTAATTAAAAATGTGTATTATGCAATGATCACTTCGTGCAACATTGTCATAAACTAGAAATTCTATTATTTCGTGTGAATGAACAGAATCTTTCACGAGTTTACGTATAACAGAAAAATGACGCTAATTGGGGAATGGGGGGGTAGAAGTGACCATAATACGCATCCTTCTTCGAAATGAATGCCCGACTCTGAAAGGGGCAGTGTCTGTCTTCTGTCCAATCACCCGCTGAGGAACTGTAAACTGTTTTGAATCGTGACTGCATGGGGGAATGCTGTTAGCTCTAACAGTTCCTTGAGAGAATTATCACGTCTTGAAATTTTCTTTGTATATAACAGGAGTGTAGAGATGTATAATTTTAACCTTTCGTCGCAATTTAGTTCACTATTATATAAAAAAGGCGTTGGGGACTATGAACAGTTCCAGTATTTTATTTTAGATTTCCGTCTCCCAAACAACCAAGTCCCAAGATACAATACCGAACAAAGCGGATTAAATCAAATAAGACAAAACAAGTGTGCACGGATAATATGATCGCCTAGCGAAAAATATTATTTGTCTTTACTTTGCGAGCCCTAAGCAAGTGTGATGTTGTACTGATTGGTCAGGGTTATCCGTGCACATCGCATCACGGTTGGCGATAACGAGCATAAGGCATGTATATGACATGACATGGACAAGCCTGAAACGGAATTCTGACATCTGGTGGGAGAAATCGGCCTCCCGAACTATGATAGGTTTACACAGAACATTAAGAACGTTCACGTTGATAATTTTTTTGCTTTATTATTTGTGAGTAAACAAGCGTAAAAAGGTTAACTGTAATCTTTAGTAGCGTTCGTATTACAGGCCTATAAATACCTGATCGGCCTTTATGATCATTTGTTGCAGACAAATATATTGTTGAGTTGCAAATCTGTTGTTTCAGTGTTAATCACATCCTTATATTTCACTGATGCTTGCGTCATCAGGTAAAAAAGTATGACAACCTACACTGATTTATTCATGCAGACAGACAGACTAATGTTATGTTCATCATAAAATAAAATGCCAGCAATTAACTTTTAAGGGTCCAAGTTAAAACATCCTTGATTACTGCTAAATGGATGAGTAGCCATATTTATAACTCACATCTCACATTAAAAATTCTTATCGTGTCTAACGGTTATAAGGACTCTAAAGAACCACAAAACTGTGCAAATGGAAAAAGGTCCAATAAACTATGAAAATGCAGTCCGTGTTTCTTAGGGTCGTTTCGACTCAACTGGAAATCAGCTTGCTTCATCAATAAACTCTTCGACGGTTTTTATAAAATTTTTTTCGACTCAACTGGAAATCAGCTTGCTGCATCAATAAACTCTTCGACGGTTTCTATAAAATTTCGTTATATGAGGTTCACTTTAATGCCCATGGGGCGAATTTCAGTGTTCAGATTTCAAGATTTTAAGTTTTCACGGCGACTGAATCTAATGAAGTCTTTTTGGTAAATTAGTCATCTTAGTTTGGAAGTTTGTTTCCGGTCTCTGTGCCCACACAACTGATCGTCGGAGAAAACTTTATCGCGGATTTCAGTTTCTTTGAAGCTGCCCCTTACAACCTTTTTTACATAAGGACGTACGCGATGTTGTTCTACCATTAATTGTAAGTCATGCTTTCTTATAAAATATTTTATTTGCGAGAGCGATCCAGCACGGCAGCATAACGGTAACGACCTGTGTTCCGAGGTACCACGTTCGAATCTCGGCAGTGTTGCCAGCTGTCACGTCTGGCTTTCAGTGAGTTTCTTCAGCGTTTTGTGCATTGAAATCCATACTCGCCATTCGCGTTCATAATCCTATTTCAATCAACACAATGCAACAACTTCTGCAGTGAAAACAAAATCAGTAATTAAATAATTTA